CTGCATTGCAGGGGGCTGGAAGACTGCAAACTACATCTCCTAAACTCCCTTGCCAGCTGGCTTCTGGCTGGATTCTGCTAATGGGAAATCAGAAGTCTAGAGGGGAGAGAAGACATTTCTGGCTTCTGATGGTGTCTCCAGTGGTGGCTGGTAGTCTGAGTTCGTGGGTTCTTGCTTCAGTGTCACAATTCCAATAGTGGCCGCAGCAGCCTTAGCGACTGTGGCTCTCTGCAATATCATTTTCCTCTTTTGCTCTTCTAGCTTTGGGGGTACTAATCTCTGGCAGTTCCATCTTCTCCTTCATGACACTCTAGTCCATTTAACCTGTTTATAACCACTTCCCTGTATTAAATGTTCTGTTTCATTGCTTAAGAGATCTTCTATTTTGCTGACTGGAGTTTCAGGGGTTCAGACAATCTGAGGTTCCACTACCTCGTAGTTGCACCAATGGAACCCATTTCCTCAAGCGCCATAATGGTGGGGAGGAGTGAGATAGAGGTGGCACACTGGTTCCTAAGTGCCTTGGCTTAGAAATAGCGTATACCACTACCTTTCATAGTCCATTGGACAAATGAATCATTTGACCCTAACTTAACTGTATGGGAGACTTGGAAACATAGGAGAGCACTTGGAATATTTGGTGAGGGCTAAGTGTCTCTATCACAATGAATTAATCAAGAAAGAGAACGACATGGTGAGAGAAAACAGAGATGAGTATGAGACAGTGTAAGAGACACAAAGGAAAGTTCCAGAATAATGCCAGTGGATAGCCCCACGCTGACAGCTGGATAGCAGCCCTGTCAATATGGATCCAGAGGAAGGAGGCTCCAGAAGGGGTGTCCCCAGGAAACAAAATGAAACAAATACATTCCTGACAAGTTTGACTCGGTGGAAAGTTGAGTTGAAATATATTTATAAAGCCAAAGGAGGAGGTGGGAGGACTTATTACGAGATTCTAAGAACGAATCAAAGGAAATAAAAAGAAAAAAAAAGGTGGAGGAGCGATTAACTCCAAAAAGAACTAAGAGATATATAAGAAGAAAACTAATAAAAACACTTTATTGGGCGCAGCAGTGGGGGATATTTATATAAATGTAATTATGGAAACAGTAAACATGGATCTTACTAAAACTGTAATAAAACTGCCTTGAGAGTTGCAGCACTGTGATTCAATTCTGATGCTGACCACCAGAGTTAGTGCATACTTCACAGATTAAGGGCACAGTCCCCTAACAAGACACCCAGACTTCAGACACCATCCACAAGTTCCAGGGTCCTGAGGTCACCCACACTTCTGACCAACGAGCTATAAATTCCGGGATTCCCATGACCTATTCAGATTTTATAATTCATGAAATCAATTCACAGAATTTAGGAAATCACTATGGTTATGATTTCAGTTTTATTATAAAGGATGCAAATCAGGACCACCCAAGGTCCATGAAGAAATCCATAGGGTGACTTCTGGAAAGTCCTGAGTTTTCTGTAATTTCACCTTGTAGAAGAGGCACATCACCCTCCTGACCCATGGGTGTTTATATTTAAGCACCTTGGTATCCAGAGTTTTTATTTGAGTTTCATTATGTAGGCACCATTGATTGATGTCAATCTTTAGTCCCCCTCTCTCTCCTGGTCCAGGCTGATATCACGGGGCTCACCATCCCAACCCCAATCATATGAGTGCTCTTTCTGGTATGACTAGGCTCCAACCTGAAGCCATCTAAGACCCATCATGAATAACAAAGACACTCATATCACTGGGGATATTCCAAGGGTTGAGAAGCTCTGTCATAGGAACCCAGGTCAAAGACCAGACAGATTCTTTATTGCTCAACAGCAGGATGAGAGGGAAAGAGTGCATGAGCATGTGTGGTTTTAAGAGTTAGATCTTCATCTTCCAAAGTGTGATGTCAATAAACACTACTTAAAGTAGCAAAACAAAGAAGCAATAGCATTCTAAGCATGTGAATTTATTTTATTTTTAAAATTATTTTGAGCCGGGCTCGGTGGCTCAGCCTGTAATCCCACGCTTCTGGGAGGCTGAGGTGAGTGGACTGCCTGAGCCCGCGGGTTTAAGACCCGCCTGGGCAGCAAGACCTCATCTCTACAATAAATCAAAAATCAGCCGGGCGTGGTAGCGCGTGCCTGTAATTCCGGCTACTCGGAAGGCTGAGGTGGAAGGATCGCCGGAGCCCAGAGGGTCGAGGCTGTGGTGGCTGGAAGCAGCCACTGCACTCTAGTCTGGGCGACAGAGTGAGACTCCAACTCAAAAAAAAAAAATTATTCTGTTTTATTATAAAGATGTGGGGTACAATTCCGGGTTGGGTATACAAACATTGATTATGCAGGTACCTTTGTTGAGGAGGTACACCCCTCCCTCCCCTAGCAGTTTCCCTCAACTGCCAATCTCACCCCCTCTCCCCTGACAGTTTCCCATTACTGCCGAACGCTAAGCATGTGATTTTAAAATATGGCAACAAACATCAGAAGAAAATGGGAATGTCTACTCCTCAGAAGTAAGGAGAGATATTTGTTGTTGCTAGTAAAAGCCTTATAGAGTCACTTGACTTACCGACTAGGTACACATATTACCCTGATAAAAATCAAGAGAATGGAAGGAAGAAAAAGGGTGGCTGTTGAATCAGGTGCTCAGATATGGATAGGAGAAATACTCAGAGGGAGAAACTATGCATGGATTCCAAGAGACCACCTGACTGCCTGTCTCAACGGCACAGGTGAGCAGGAGCCTGGGGAAGGAGGCAGAGCGGGCAAGGGGCAGAGGAGGGGCTGGTCGAGAGGAGGGGGAAACCAAGCTGTTTCTCTGGGCAGCTCGGCAGATGCATCTAGTGCTACTGAGAGGTCGACCGAGATGAAGGATTTAGTGACCCAGAGGTCACAGGTGACCTGGATGAAGGCCAGACTACAGAGTTGAAGGAGGGACGCGCGATGAGGATACAGACAAAGGAAGCTTGGCCGCCAAGGGCAAAAGAAGTACGTGGGATTGTGTGTTCTTAAGACGGGAGAGTTCTGAGGATGTGTAAATGCCGTCGGAAGGAAAGAAGCCGGCAGAGGGAGTGGTTCAAGACTGGGAGGAAGAAGACCCTGAGGGCGTGAGGTCTCCAGGAGGCAGGAGGCAGACAGCGCAGCTCCTTCCAGGGGAGGGAAGGCGCACACTTGCCCTTATCTCATCCCTGGTCTTATCCTTCTTATCTTGTCTTATCCTTATCCTCCTGCCTAGCAGGCTGCTATCTCAACTTCACAGATGAAAGGTCATAATTTGCTCTGAGTTACCTGGCGGCAAAAGGTCCCCATGACCTCAGATGCTTCTGCCTCCAAAGCCAGATTCTTGTTGCCGCACTTGTTCCCATAGCCTCAGAGCTCCTCGCCTGGGGTGACGGTGAGGGCCAGAGGGGAAGTCCCTAACTCCAGTGCCTGTGGGGGCCAGAAAGAATCCAAAAAACGGGACAGGTACGCCGGCTGTGCTCTGGCAGTATGAGCAGGGAGGCAGGACGGCCGTAGGGGGCTGTGTGCCCCTGAGGTCCCTTGTCCCACTCCAGCAGGGGATTCCTACAGCACCCCAGGAGCAGCTCTCGCCAGATCTTTTGGTTTTTCAGGAGAATTTGAGCACCCCACTTTTATTATTTTTTCGCGTCGGAGTCTCACTCTGTCGCCCAGGCTGGAGAGCCACGGCATGCTCATGGCCACCGCAGCCTTGACCTGTTGGGTTCAGGCGATCCTTCCGCCTCAGCCTTCCAAGTTGCTGGAACTACAGGCACACGCCACCACTCCCTGGCTCTTTTTTGATTTATTGTAGAGATGAGGTCTTACCAAGTTGCCCGGGCTGGTCTCCCACTCATGAGCTCAGGCAATCCTCTCACCTCGGCCTCCCAAAGTGCTGGGATTATAGGTGTGGGCCCCTGCACCTGGCTGAACATCCCACTTTTAATGTGAATGTGTATTTTCCAGATTAGAGAGATATGTGTTCTGAGAATAGGAAAGCAAAGTGGTGGGATATTGTGGTGGTCAAGGAAGGCATCCCTGGAAGGAGACCCTCTGACTCAGGCAGGAAGCAACTTGGCAAGTCCTGGAAGAGAGGAGGGGAGAGGGTGGGGAAGACGGGAGGGTCGGACCACGGCCTCGGGGCCAGAGGAAGGGAGCAGGGGCGCGGGGAGGGAGGAGCCTAGCTCTGCTAGCTCACCAGGTGGCCCTGATGGCCGGCCGTTCCGGTCACAGTCCCTCTCCCTCTCGCCCTCGCCAGCCAGGGTCCCAGGAAGAGGGGTCCGAGGAGTGGACGAGGGTGGCCTCTTCAGGGCCTGCTCAGGCCCAGGATGGGCCTCCTCATTAACTGAGTGCCATCAGGCTGATGCTCATTAGCCCTGGCCAGAGGCGCCCCGAGGCCATGCCTGCCCCCCCAGGGGCGGCGGGGACGCGGCTGGGACCCCTCCCACTCCCAGACACCCACGCAGCGACAGTCG